TTTTTATGACATTTTTTATTACAAAATAACTTTTTAAATTCGAGATTAAGATTATTCCAAAAAATTTGCATAAATTCTTTTAACAATTTCATGTACATATTTTTCTTCTGAGTCTTTATTTTGAAGATGTAAGCTTATATTTTGCATATATTTGATAGATCTCTAAGTCTAATGTTGCTCTAATGACTAGCATACATCCAATGATGGTGAATTTAGCCAATGGCAAAAATATCTCATTAGAATTCACTTTATGCATTTCTAAAATTTTCTTACTAGAGGTTTTCTACAAAAAAAAATAAAAAAATAAAAAAATAAAAAACACATCTCTTCTATTACATATATTTTGGTTTTAAGCAAACACTTAAAAGAATCCAACTTCATTGTTTTATTTACTGAGTAAAAAATGTACTCGTTATCTATAGTTACTTCTTATTTTTTGTATTATTGTATTTTAATGCATCTTTGAATATAGTTGGATCATAAATAAATTTTACATCTGCATATTTTAATAGACATACATACATCTTATTATTAAGAATTCATTGATAATATTCAAAGAAAAATATGCATCATCCAAAATAAATTTTTTAATTGAAAAACATGTATTAAAGATTGTTCAATATTGGTAGTACAAGTTGATTCCTTTTGTAGAAACAAATGACCTTAGTTTTTTTTAATTCATTGCAGCCTTCACAAATAAAGATCATAAATTAGATTTTTTTATTAAGATTCAATATAATTGTCAACTTTAAAACGCTTTTAAGTTTTATATGTTTAAGTCAATTCTGTATTGGTATAAGATTATTAATTCATCTTTATGTTTAAAAGGTTACTTTACCATCTTGGTAGCTACTACTTTTTTGTACAATAATTAATAAAAGTCATCTTTGAATCATGTTGATGTTATATTCTATTCAATTTTAGCCTACATAAAATATTAAAGTACACCAAATTCTAGACCTAGTCTTTTAAAAATTATTTCACTTACCAAATGGAAGATAATTTTGTAATTTGATAGAAAATAACACATTGATTATTAAAATTATGATTATGATTATTCTTATTTTTTATGCATCTTCCCTACTATCTCTAACATGATAAAATACTTTCTTATTTTTATAAGAGTATGTTCTTCATGTAAGATTGTACAAGATTAATTATCTACTTTACAATTAATATTAATATGGTTTTTCATTGTATTATAATATATATATATATATATATATATGAATTCTTTAAAATAATTTATAAGATAATTGATTTGATATATCACAACAAATTTTAATTAGTAGTCTACTTTATGTATGGTTGGTTTCTTCTCTCTCATGTTGGTATATAAAAATACTGCACCAACTTTAACCAGTTTGTAGCATTCTTATAAAAAAAATATGTATATATTATGCAACAATTTGGATGTTAGAAACTTAAAATTACTTTACTACATGGGTTTTGTCTCTAATGCAACAATCAATCTTTTAAATAATACAGACACATTCTTTGATAAAGTCATCACATTATACTAATCTAATATTATAATGTTTGTGGATGCAAGTTAATTTTTAGATGCTATCACTTTGTAAGTGTGCCACAATAGATTATTAAACTTATGTATCTTCTGGTAAAAATCTTGTACCTTAAGAAGAAAACATTGGTTAAATATTATATCTTGTAGATGCTACAATATATAATTTTATTTTAATTGACGTCCTAGAAATTTCTAAACATGAAAATTAAAAAAAAACAATATATATATATATATATATATATATATATATATATAATGAATAAAGATAATAGATTTTTTATTTTTTTATTTTTTATGCTATTATGAGTTTGCATTAGAATTACTACCAAAAACATTTCAAGTGAATTTTATAATTCTTTGAAAGTCATTACAGTTAAGTATTTTAACGATATACATGTAGATTTAAAATAATTATAACTATAACAGTATATGTTTATATATACTATATCTATAAATCTATATATAAATATGTATAATTTAATAATAACCCCAGTAGTAAAATGTGCAACGATTAAGTAAATCAAATTTTAGTTTTACTTTAAAATTTAATTCTAAAATTTTATGTGTAAATTTATTTAATATTAAGTATAATTTATCAATCGACACCTCTAACATCAAAAAAATTAATTTTGAAGTTATAACTCTAAACAACAGTTATTATAAAAGTATAATAAAGTAATTTTTTTATATTTATACAACTTTTATTTTTTTAATATTATATATAATAAATTATATCTAACTTTCTTCTAAGATTAATAAATACTAAAATTATATTAAAAGATTGCCTACATTTATATCAATACTTTAAAAATAAATTCAAAAATATATATTTAAAAAAATACTCAAACGATGTCTAATTTAACCTTGCTACCAAAGAATATAAAATAAACTAAATAATTTAAAGAATCTTATTTTAAAAAAAAAAAAAAAAAAAAAAAAACTTTTTAAAATTAAAGCAAATAAAAATCTAAAACATCCTTAGGTACAAATTCATAGCACCTTGTACTATTATTCAAGAGTTGTAATCTATTGCAATACATGTACATAAAAATAAACATGCAGATTAATGTTACTCTGATTAAGAATATAAAGGTCAAATAAGTAGTTTTTTCTTTTCTAAGTTGGTTGTATATTTATCTGTGCAATTTCATACATAATGACACAATGTGCTTAGAGGCATGTGCTATTTATAAAATAATGTTATTTTCTGAAAAAATCATTCATGTTACCAAAGTAATTTATTTGTTTGTACTAGTAAATTTTAAAAAACAAATTATTATCACACATTGTTGGTCTTATTACACATTGTTGTTGAAAGATTTCCATACATTACTAAGTTATAATATTTGAACATTTTATATATATGTTGTGAATAATTTAAAGCAGCTTACATTAATAAATATTATTTTAAGGAAAATATCAAAAATATCAAAATTAAAAAAAAAATTATGAACATAATTTTAAGTAATGAAGAATCTTTAGAAACAAAATGAACATTTTTAAATTTAAAAAGAGTCTTTAGAGGAATATTAAGAATTTTTTAATTTTAATAAGTGCATTTTAAATTAAAATATTGAGGAAAAAAATTCAATTAGGTCAAAAGAAATTTAAAAAAAGAATAAGTTATCACTTGAATAAAGATGGTATGTTGTATACAACATGGTTTTAAGAGAAGGTGAAGATTTGATGAATATTGTGATACTTTGTAGAGACAATATCTACCAATATATGAAAAAATAATAACTTTGTTGGTGAATTTAGAGCTTTTGTGATTATTTATTTATTCATTTATTTTTAAATCATTCTAAAGAATTCTTATTTAAATATTTGAACTTTAATATGAAGATTGGTTACAACATGCATACAAAGAACACTTTTTTATATTATTTTTAATTTAGATAACACCAACTTTGCACACATTCATCTTATGCAAAAGATTAATTAAAGCATTAAAAGATAATTTACAACATTTAAACAAGTTATAAACTTCTTAATAACAACTTTGTATACCAAAAATTCTTCATATATAAGATGGAAGGAAATAAAGACTTAGTTGCTCACATTACCATAGTGAGGGTTTTTACTTAGAAGAAGAATACATGATTAGGAAGTTGTATGTAATTTTTTTATTTTATATAATTGTTTAAGCATGGCTTTAAAATGTATTCAAATCAAGGAGCCATTAACTGATTTTCTTTACATGCTTAATTGTTTAAATTAATATTTATTTAATTATTTCATGTCTAAACAAAGAAAACCATTCTAAATAGTACTTTAATGTGAATTATATTCATTTATAATATTAAAAAAACATATTTTTTAAAATTGTCCTCAATTTTAAAAATTACAATAAAGTAGAATTTTTCGTTCTCACATAAGTCAAATTGACAAAAAAAGAAAAAAAAAGAAAAAAAAAAGATTCCACAATTAAATTGATTTCATCAACTCTATAATCAAATGATCAACCCTAAACCCTAAACTGCTGGATTATGGCTAAATTAGACCCATGTGTTCAAAAATAGTTCTTAAGGGGTTGGCAGTGCAAATCTTCACTACAAAAACTTGACTGCTCTTGTCAAAAAACAAAGGATATACCTCGCTATTGTGTTAAAACAAATAAATAAATAAACAATTAAAGATGTGATTTATTGCCCAACACCTTGAAATGTGAATTGCACCATAATTCATATCTGCAAAACAGATTTATGTTCCCATTATGGTCTAAACCATCCATTTGGCGCCTTCACCATATTTTGTTTGCTTGAAGTGAAGGCACGGGTCTTTATGAGCTGAAGGCAATGGTAGTTTAGTTTTAACTATCAAATAATCATCCATTTCTATATAAATACATGGTGAAGGGTTGCTTGAACACCACACTGAGGTGAATTGCGTGATACAGTGGTGTTATAAACCACATTATGTCATGAAATGCAGGATACAGAAAGGTAGATTCAACAATCATATGAATACAAATCCATGCAACAGAACAGTATCCAAATGAAACAATTTTATTTCTTAGGAATTAGACATTTAAGAAAGAAAAAAACAATGCGCTTTTAGAGTTGTTCCACAAACTTTGATGTCACAGTCAAAGACCAAATAAATCCCATGTAAAAACATACTGCGTTGCAAATTTAAACACTGAAAATAAATAAAATCATATGGGAACACAACAAAAATATAAAACCCTTCATATGAGAAGAAAAAGATTAAAAGTGAGTCAGTCAACATAAATTCATTGCACACTAATACTCAGACCCCAAAATCTCAATTTCAATTGGCAAGGCATATCGACAAAGAGGAAACACAGACAATTTTCAAGCTCCAAATGCAAGATGACATCCATGAAACCAAGAGATTAGACTTCTACACCCCCTATCGAATATTTTAAGAATGCCGATACGATAGAATATCAAAATGAGAAAGCGGACTACAGCATCAACAATAATGAATGAAGATCCAAAGAGATACCGGGAACAGAAAAAAGGAGATCATGTATGTACAGACTTTCGTAGCGGCGAGCGGCAAGCTTTTACAGAGGCCATTAAGAAAGACAAAGGTGACTAAAGTTCTGCCTACGCATTTATCAATCGAGCCCTATAATTCAATCCACAACTACTTGCATCAAAGTGTACAGTAATTTGTGTTCAGATGAAAGTTGAAAACTGAACCTCAAGAAAGATCCGTCTTCAAACGAACTCCTCCACAAGCAAGAGTAGCCAAATAAATGACTGTCTTGAATAATGAAGTCAGATTCCCTGTCTTGAAATGCCTTACATGTCTGATGAGTTAAAACAGGTTGACTTTTGAGAAAGCTGAGCATGATGCTTGGATTGTAACAGGCAATAATTTGGAAAAATGGGTTATAAAACAAGTTGCACCACGTCCTATTCACAAGCCAACTTCGTGTCAAAGCTGCTCAAACAGATCGCAAACGCCTGGAAAGCGCTCAGAGGGTACCGGTAGTCCATCGTGAACATGTCCTTCCCAATCTTCCCGAACTGCAGCAGCACCTTGTCGTGGTCCGCGGACGAACTTGACGTCGTTGCTGCGGCACTTACCGCCTTCACCGATGTCGCCGCCACCAACTGGAAATTCTTCACCGACGCCACCGTCACCCTCCCGCGGAAGTTCAAACACCAGCACTGCAGCTGCTCGTGCCACCGTGGAGCCTTGTTCCTCAGCACCAACGGTTCCTCCTTGTTCAACAGCCCGGACACAAACTCGCTGCTTTCCAACGCACTGCTGTCCACCACCGCCGCTTTCGACCGCGGGGACGACATGATGCTCGAGTACGGGACGTGGACCTCCTCCAAACTGCCCGCTGCTAGCTCTGTCGGTGTCGGGGCGCTGCCTCCCGACTCCATTGCACACGCCGGAATTGAATGCAGAGTGCACTGCATTCGTCTCGGACCCCGCGTGCCCAGCACGTTCAGCTCGTAAGCTATGTGCGCTACATTGTAACTTCCAGAATGTACACGAGATGACAGCTGCTTGGTTCCCATACGCCAGGCCCCGCGGTTGGATGCTGCCACCCCGTTGTGCGATGGCTGACTGTCGTAGATTGTGAACTTTGTACCCAGGAAATTGGACCTGTGGATAGACGGGCATACACATAATATAATCAGTTAGCATGCTCCAAAGAAAATCATCAGGCTGATGAAAATAGGATTGAATAGCACAAGTTGCAAACTCATATGTACGAATCAGAATGAAAAGATCCGTGTCCACGATGTCAAGACTATAGGATTAAGGATACCTGAGCTTTCCAACGTATGCAGTGCCCCCTCTTGACATATCGTCATGATTGAGGGAAATAATATAATCAGTGCGGGTTGGACGTCGAAACTTTTTTGCAGCTAATAGAAACTTCCCATTCTCCACCAAAGCTGGGTAAATGCACGAAAACAACACAATGAGCAAAAAACTTATTTCCTACTTTGCACAAATCCAACAACAGGGAAAGAATTTTCTTGTCAGATATCAAGCTTGAATTTAGAGCAACCATTCAAACTTGTAAGGCATCAACATTTATCGCTTGTAGTAATAACCATTAATAAATTCATATCCCATCATTCGAACTAGCAGTCAAAAAAGACCCATCATTGATATCCATGAAAACAACACACGATGAACAAGACCACGAGATTCAAATACTTGGTTCAAATAGTCGACACACCCAAAACATGTATAGGAACTGGCAAAACAGAAAAATGCAAGCCACTAAATGAACTTCGTATAAAAATGTGTAAAATATCGCATTCGTTAATTACACTGGTCCAAAACTGAAAATACATAGGAAAGGCTACTGCTTCTACGCAACTACATAATCATAACAGATAAGCATTAAGACATGAGCACAACACGCATGCCTCATTCTCCAAGCATCTATAAATTTTATAAACCATAAACACAAATAAATCGGCTCAAGCTTTGATCTATAGGAACTTACTAGGTGGAAGGCCTAAAAAGAGCTGATATGTGGAAGTGGTTCTGTCCCGCTTTATGAAACATTGCACAGTATTCTCTCGAGGTCCAGGCTGGAGCAAAAACTTTACCAGGTCAGAGGGTACAAGGGATACAAATACAGACAACAAGGCATTAAAGACTCTAAATCACGCACTCTCGTTCCAAAAGCTCAAACATGCAACGAACTCATTCACAAGGTAAGAGAAACGATGGTTCTACTATTAACATTTCAGCGCGCGCATAACTTCAAACCATACCCTCCCACGATCTACTTTCAATGACAACCAACCAGTACACCCTATTACCATAACAGGAAGAGCCTATCCCAGAAGAGAAAAGCAAGATTACTCACATCTCCTTAAAAAATCAGGGAGCGAATAACTTGCGTCTAAAGATAATCAAGAAACCCACTATAAAAAACATTTTTTTTCTACTCTAAATGAAAGCTTTCTCCAGAAGCTGTGCATCTGCAAATATCCAGCGTACGAATTGCCACATGATGCAAATTCATTTCCACGGCCCTTCCGCAATCGACTCAGGTTCGCGCTCGCTCGCTCGCTCTCTCTCACCTGCTTCAGCGCAATCGGAAATGTCAGCCGCCCTGACTGCTCCGGCGTCCGCACCAGCTCCTTCGTTATCTCCCTCCACGAGCTGCACACCGCTGCACATGCCACCACGTGCTTCCGCCCCGGCCACGCGCTCTCGCTCGCCTCCACCCTCTGTATCACGTCCCTCAGCAGCTCCGGCGGCATGTTCGCCCAGCAGCTCTGCTTCACAACCGCCTCCACTCTCAGCTGCGACTCGTCCAGCACCATCCCACTCGACCTCCCCTTGTGGTGGTGCGGAAACTTCAGCTCGAAACTCCGCCGCGATATGCCCCCTCTCCCGCCCTTCATCTCCTGAAACTCCCGTATCAGGCTCTTCAGAGGCATCATTGACGACCCGCTTCTCCGCCCCGACATGCCCCACCTACACACCCGAAACCCAGAGCCGCTCACCCCACACGAGATTCTCTTCAACGCTCTCTTCACCAGGATCACCCACACCAGCATCCACCCACGCACCCCGCGCACCGCCAGACACCCGTTGGCCACCATTCATACCTCATTGCGAGCACCTCCACCCTATTCTGCTTCCCACCCTGCCGATTTCAGAGTGCACGTACAATTATAAACTCTCTAACTGCAACGATTAGCAGTCGATTAGTATTGGTGGAAAAGGACATTGTGTCCTTCAAACGGCTTCCAATGAAATCCTAACCCATCAGCTCCTCACAAACCACCCATTCTCTGTACTGATTGTAAGCCATGGCAAACTGCGAACTAGGTCACTTAATATCTCCTCCGCAGTGTTCTCCTCAACAACCCCATGTCCATAGACTTAACTCCTATGTCTATGGACATGCTCACCACTTACAGTAGCGTCTTCAACCAACACACTGGATCTCTATGCTTCCTCTGTAGGATCAGAGACCTAATGAAGCCGCGAAAACTAAATACCAATCTAATCTTCGACGCACTGGGTTCGCAAATTTCAAGCAAACGTTCCTCAACTCGGCTTCAAAAACCTAAGCCTGTAGATCTGCTTGCCTTCAACCCATAGTGTAGGCCGGCAAGATTGATCACCACAACAAGAGGAATGAAAACTTCAGGGGAGTCACTGTCCAACGTGCTTCTACACCCTCCAACATCACAAAACGTAGCAAGACTGTCGGAAACTTGTTCCGATTCGACAGTGAACCAAATTCGACGACGAAAGGTGCTGCAAGGGGGTATTTGGAGTACCCCAGGAAGGCAGAGCTGGAAGCTTGAAGCACGATGGAGGCAGTGGAGCGATGGTAGGGAAGAATAGAGAGGGAGACGGAGGCAAATCTTTCGGCGTAGGGCATGATAGGGCCAGCTTCGGCGCAGGGTCAATGCTATACGCTTCCTTCGCAATTGCCCTTCCGAGGCCTACGACCGCGTCTTGGTTGACGATTGTGTCTTGGTTAACTCCCAACGGTAATACCGCTGGATTGATCCCAACTCCGCTGCGACATCGCCCAATTACCTTTAAAATTGTTTGGTCTCTGTTAAGTTGAGTGATTACTGCATGGCTCGGATTATACACAATCTCAATCAATGTTAGAAATGGTACTACCTAGAGTCTTAAAGATTGATGCAAATACACCTGAAATACATTATTACCTAGTCGTAAAAGACCTCCTTAGAGTCTAACGTTGGACTCTCGTTCAATCGTTGTTTACCAAGAATCCAGACAGGCAAGGCACTGCACCTGACTGTTGAGATGTTCTGAGCTGCAACATGGAGACATTGCTGACACAGCGAGGTAATTGTTATGGTTTTTCGAGGAGGTGGGGGTGAGGAACTACTGTTTGCTGCAAAGGGCAGATCGAAACCGCGCTTGCCAGGCGGAAGGATCTGTGCTATATGCAATTCTCGGGGTCCTGTCTCTGCAACTGGGTGGGGTCAGGTTACTGACGCATTAGTTCAGCACTTCAGTTGGATTGAGGTTACGAATTCGCATTGATCCTGTTGATGAGATGCCAATGTGGAAGCGAGGATGTCTTTACCTCGGATTTCGCGAACAGCGACGCACTGAAGCAGGACTGACTGCTCAGTCATAAACTCCTCACGCCTTACGGCCCAGTTAACCCAACAGTGGCACGAAATTCTGAAGTGGTGACGTTGGAAGAGGCTCTTTGACTCAATGCATGTTAGTAAACAGATAATGTAGGTTTCGTTGGGTGATCTATCGTACCCTGTTGGAATCTTTACAACAGATGGAGCTGAATGTTATGACCGTCAAATTCTGACATAAAATACGCTTAATTTGTGACGTACCACAAGTTCCTTGGCTCAACCTCATTGCTCTGGGGATTGAACCAATAGATCGCTTGGTTTTTTCTACACAGATGTGCAGCATGACTACAAGGTGGACGAGGTCTAACATATGTAGTTGAAGACAATAAGAACATCCTCATTGGAGAAGAAAAAGGACAGGGATAAAAGCGAGGCTCCTCGTCATCAGACCAATATAAAAAGAGAAGGACAAAAGTTAATTCAATTGGAAACAAATTAGGCAACTGCTGTTGCTGAGAACAAAAAATGGGCATAATAAGACACCATCATCCAATTAGAGAGTAATTTTCAGAAACTAAACAAAAGAATGCTAACTTATGTACAGTTCGAATAGCTGAGAGGGACAGTATCTTACCTGGGCAACCTGGTAAGTACAAGGCCCTAACCTACACAAAGTCTCAACGGTGACTAAAATGTCCATTTCTTTGAGAGGCCACCAGAACAGTTCGTACACATCGCTCTCTCTATGGTAAGATGAGAAATCATGAGATAGCGTTATGCGACACAAACCACCATCAAGCAGGAACCATCGTGGTGTTCGAACCTGCTCAATAAACCGTAGCACTATGGACCCCGACACAGTGTCTTTCAATTAGTGAAGTGGACCCAACGAGACACACGAAAAGAGTCCAGTCATTCACAAAAAATTAAGAACTGGACTTCAAGGAATGAAGATAACAACGCTCTTCCGTCTCACTGCACAACGTCCTACTCACAAGCCAACTTCGTGTCAAAGCTGCTCAAACAGATCGCAAACGCCTGGAAAGCGCTCAGAGGGTACCGGTAGTCCATCGTGAACATGTCCTTCCCAATCTTCCCGAACTGCAGCAGCACCTTGTCGTGGTCCGCGGACGAACTTGACGTCGTTGCTGCGGCACTTACCGCCTTCACCGATGTCGCCGCCACCAACTGGAAATTCTTCACCGACGCCACCGTCACCCTCCCGCGGAAGTTCAAACACCAGCACTGCAGCTGCTCGTGCCACCGTGGAGCCTTGTTCCTCAGCACCAACGGTTCCTCCTTGTTCAACAGCCCGGACACAAACTCGCTGCTTTCCAACGCACTGCTGTCCACCACCGCCGCTTTCGACCGCGGGGACGACATGATGCTCGAGTACGGGACGTGGACCTCCTCCAAACTGCCCGCTGCTAGCTCTGTCGGTGTCGGGGCGCTGCCTCCCGACTCCATTGCACACGCCGGAATTGAATGCAGAGTGCACTGCATTCGTCTCGGACCCCGCGTGCCCAGCACGTTCAGCTCGTAAGCTATGTGCGCTACATTGTAACTTCCAGAATGTACACGAGATGACAGCTGCTTGGTTCCCATACGCCAGGCCCCGCGGTTGGATGCTGCCACCCCGTTGTGCGATGGCTGACTGTCGTAGATTGTGAACTTTGTACCCAGGAAATTGGACCTGTGGATACATCGGTATACACAAACAGTTAGTATGTCCCAAAGAGTGATGGAAACCTAATATACTGCCTTTAACAACGAAGAAACCAAAATTAACCACTATGGTAAACGTGCTGTGACTAAACATAAAGTAGCGGTCTGGTTGTCTACATCCTCTAGCCTACAATCTTATGTTCTAAAGAATATTAAGACAAAAGATTTCAGTAATAATTCGTCGGAAGAGTAAACCTGCCATTTAAACACATCCAACTCAAGGCATTTAAGTTGCACTTGCCAGCAACCACACTGGGAAGGCTTCCAAATGTACTCCATGTTCCTAAAACATTCCAGCATTAGAATAGAACAAACGCGTGTGAGCATAACTACCTGAGTTTTCCAACATATGTGTTACTTCCTCTTGAAATGTCTTCCTGATTGAGTGATATTATATAATCGGTACTGGCGGCCCTTCGAAACTTTCGAGCAGCTAATAGGAACTTCCCATTCTCCACAAGAGCTGCAAGAACCCATACGAACAACACTGTTGAGACCAAAAAACTACATACAAATATATTCACTGATTCCAACTGATATAAACCAATTGCCGGTCATGGCTATCCTTGTTGAATATCAGAGCATTATTAGCCATCAGCATGACAATAACGGAGCTGCAGACTGAAAATCGACCCACGCTCTACAGTGATCAGAGGAATGAGCACAAATGAGAGAAACTTTGTGGAAAAGAAAAAAAAAAAAAAAAAAAAAAAAAAAAACTCACATGGAGGAAGCCCCAAATAGAGCTGATACGTAGAAGAAGTTCGATCTCGCTTTATAAAACATTGCACGGTGCTCTCACGAGGCCCGGGCTGCCACATAGAACAAAATAGAGATAAGAACACCATCGAATCTACCAGAAATAAGAACGCGTAACATCTTAAAACGCTAACAAACTTCCGGCGTGATTATTCACTGCCCCTAGCGCACATATACCCTCTGCACAATCCAATAGCGATCTCCTCACATGATCGCTCTCTCGCTCTCTCCCTCCCTCTCTCTCTCGCTCGCTATCTCTCACCTGCTTCAGCGCAATCGGAAATGTCAGCCGCCCTGACTGCTCTGGCGTCCGCACCAGCTCCTTCGTTATCTCCCTCCACGAGCTGCACACCGCTGCACATGCCACCACGTGCTTCCGCCCCGGCCACGCGCTCTCGCTCGCCTCCACCCTCTGTATCACGTCCCTCAGCAGCTCCGGCGGCATGTTCGCCCAGCAGCTCTGCTTCACAACCGCCTCCACTCTCAGCTGCGACTCGTCCAGCACCATCCCACTCGACCTCCCCTTGTGGTGGTGCGGAAACTTCAGCTCGAAACTCCGCCGCGATATGCCCCCTCTCCCGCCCTTCATCTCCTGAAACTCCCGTATCAGGCTCTTCAGAGGCATCATTGACGACCCGCTTCTCCGCCCCGACATGCCCCACCTACACACCCGAAACCCAGAGCCGCTCACCCCACACGAGATTCTCTTCAACGCTCTCTTCACCAGGATCACCCACACCAGCATCCACCCACGCACCCCGCGCACCGCCAGACACCCGTTGGCCACCATCCATACCTCATTGCAATCACCTCCACCCTATTTCTGGCCTACTGCACCGCAAAATCAAAGATGGTTCAGCTACAGCATCGACCAGTGTATCACAATCGGCACAAAGGATCATTTGTGCGCTGAAATGACCCCAACGGCGAAATTCTGAAACGTCATATGTGAAATCCCCCTCATTTTCCGTGCACCAACTGCATAGTTTTAGGGCTCTCAGTCCCTCGAGCACGTGAATTCCGTTCATCAAACTCCTGGGGCACGAAATCAACCTTCAGGTGCAGTCTAAGAGATGTGATTCTCGCGTCTAGTACTGTCCTTTCCAGAGATCAGCATCAGCATCTCTAACTTAGATCCTCGGACTACAAAATCTCGAATATCACACACATTCACGCCTTTCACTCCAACTCTGCAATCGCCGAAATATAATTCTGAGACGCAGCACCACCATCAAAGCCGCAGAGACTAGAGCTATGTCCTTTCTTTCCACGAATTTCTCTCTTTACAACTCTTACCAGAATGTTCTGCTCTCACTTCAGCATCAAACTTTACCGCCAGTGATATCACAAACACGGCTCCAGCCCACTACAAACGAAGATTCAGAGTGCACTGTCGAAATCCACTTTCTAATCAAACCCTTCCCATTACCCCTTACACTCACCTGAAGTGATCCCTCAACGTATGTCACCGTGCCAAGACAAGGATCACTTCCACGCGCCCACCAGCACCAACCTATCACACCCTCGAAGTGCCTCCCGCATCCTACAATATCCCATCACGACCCTCGAAGTCGTCGCACACGGTCTCGTCAACCGTAGGTCCTCAAGTTCTTTCGGTGTCACAAGCAGAACGAAGCCAAAACGAATTCTGATGCCACTCTACAGATATCTATCTAGCTACGATCTGAGGAAACATCCACCGAAACCAAGGGGCAGCCTGGCGACAGCAGTGACGCAGAGGCAACTGGACATGGCGAAGCAAGGAAGAAGGAAGGGGAGGTACACAAACACAAAGAGAGCAAGGGGGGGGGGATGCAAGTCCAAAGCCAACCTGCTGCCCTTTGCCATTTTGGGCGTCTGCCCTAAACGAGCCCGTGGCCGTGGCTCTTGTCCCACCCACGGTGGCGTAACCGCGGTTAATTTCGCCGTGGACGCACTGGACCCTGGACCTGATAGAAACGAACGTCATGTGCGGTAGCAAGTCCCACTAAACTTATCAGACTGTAATTTTAATAACTTTAACTTGGACTTAGCCCAACTTCGAAGCTCCATTGCTTACCCTAAAACCAAGCTGAATTCGAAGAGACCTCCGAGACGTAGAACTCACTATTGCTATAAAGCGGGATGAAGCTCACCAATACGACATCAACGTGGAGAAGGGAGACTTGAATACGAGGACTTCGCAGCATTCCTCATACCCACCACGCTAGGCTTCCTTTTCGTGTCCCCCAAAAATAGAATAACATTAGAAAATTCTCAACTGGGTCAGTCACTTCAAAGCTTCGCATTGTTTTTGGAAAAGCTATTCGTGAAAAAGTGGGAAAAGGATGGAATGTTGCGCGCTAAAAGGCCAAATTCGAAGTCGTCTTTGTCCACATCGGGGAACTGTATGGGAAGGGGACGACAGGAGCCATAATAGAAGCAATGCTCATGTGGTGATAAATTTAGACCCCGTGAGATGTACCCGGGCCAGTCAGTCTCCAATCGAGTAGGGCAGCCACTAAATTTAAAACTAGTTTATGAATAGACTACCCTGTTCACACAGCCGGGGCATGGTCTGGTGTGGGGAGCCCTGAGTGGGTGCGAATGAATGCACGTGGCACTGCTGAGGTGGCAATCTCACTGGTACGCATCCGTGGTGGTAATAGAATTTGGCTAATTTTGGGCAACTTGTATGGTTAGGGCTGACTCAGCACATGCACTGAGTAATGTTGTTGCCACGATCCTGTTGGAGGTCCTCGGGAAAACAACACCATGCCACGTCATTTCTACACAATATGGATATTATAATTCCTGCTGACATTTTGGTGGAGTTTTGCTTCGTTGGAATAAAAAAAAACAAATAGATTCTGAAGGGAAAGTGGGATTTTACAATGGAAAAGAAAAAAGATAAAGTGGTTTTTTTGAATTGTGTCTACACAATATAACAAAAAAAATATTTGCATTCTTTTTTCCACCTACTACATAATAATATATTATCTTGTTTTTATTGTTCAATTAGAACTTATTGGTTTTTGTAACAAACTTAAAATGCATGTGTATTTTAAAACTGTTTAATTTATATTATCTTTGAAAAAAAAATTGTATAATTTCTAGTTAGATTGTTTCGATTGTAATTTATTGTTGCATTGTATAATATTATATATTTGTAACTTCTTCACTATACTATTTCCAAAGAAAAGTAAGCCCCAAATATTAGAATACGTCTGTATATATGTTTTATACAATAAGAATAGAAGTATATGTTTGTCTATCTAGGTATATATATTCAAAGGGAAAAATATCTATTTATGCATCCACGAATTCATTTTTTTTGGCATGAGTTCAAATCTTAATTTAATCTAGTTCATTTATTATAATAGTAAAGTGCATGATCTATCTAAACACTAGAAGTAAAAATTGCAGTTATAAAAAATTGAAGCAAGGCAATGGATAGATGAATGAGTTGTACATGTATGTCAAAATTCCTAACAACAATTGTATATACCAGATCAAAAGAATTATTCTTAGTGAGCTTTAAAGAAAAATGTAAGACTTACAAATTAATGAATAACAAGTTTGAGCATGTTAAAATTTGTGAATCGACTATATTCAAATGTTATAGCATCTCTGTAAACTTAAAATACTATTTTTTTAAATAGCTTTTGTCATATTGTTTTGGATTGTTTAATGCAATTTAAGTTTATGGTTTTTAACCATTTAACATGATACTAATTAAATTCTGGATATATTATAACATTAGTAATATATTATATTATAACATATATACATATGTAATATACATATATACAAATGAAGTATAAAAACTAAAAATATGAGTCAATTACAAAATATGCATTGTAGAGACTAAAAATGGTCTTATTTTTGTTTTAAAATATATTTATTAATCTAAAGATAATATTGATGTTTTTTACAAATCACAATCTTAGCCAAATGACTATTAAAATTGTTGGATGCTATAATAACAACTTTTCATATTTAGAAGATTTATAAGAAATTTTTGTACATCCACTTTGTATACATAAGAACACATCTTGATCCAATTTATATATATATATATGTGTATATATATATATATATATATATATATATATATATTCTCAAGAAATGTATTATTTACCAAACCTATATCTACTTATTTCTATATAAATTTATTTACTTAAGCATTATAAGTATTTATGACAATAAAATTACATTACAAACTATCAAATAAGTGAAATTAAAAAATTACAACATAAGACAAGTTTTAAAGAATACAATCTCATTGACACATGGATTTTTTAATTAGTATAATTTTTACTTGTTGAATTTATAAATAAAATTTTAATAAAGTAAATCTCATGAATTTATAGATAAAAAAGAGTAGTAATAAAAAATTAAAGGGAAGGTTGAATTTTAAATAAAAAAATTATAAATTTTTATTAAATATATATGTATATATATATATATATATATATATTACAATGTATAATGTTTTAAAAAATTTAGTCGTATATATATATATATATATATATACACACACACACATATGATAACAACAACAAAATAAAGTTAAAGATAAGATTTACAACTATATGATATTTATGAAAAAATTAAGATTTGTGACCATAGTCATTATTATTTTGATATGTACTTGTAATTAGAGCCACATTTCTTATGTAAAATAGCTCAAGGAGAATAAACCAATAGAATTAACCATAGGAGACAAAATCCATCTTTGATTGGTTGTATATCTAATTGTTTTTATTAAAAGTGAAGCAATAACTCAACTTTTGAATCAATGACTGAACAAAATCTATATATTGTTGCAACAAATTGTCGAGAGTAGTACTGCAAGATCACTAAGCATGGAGCTCAAAACTAAACTCCATGTTACATGCAATTCTACCATACAACATGGAATTTCATATCATATAAAGCTTCAAACAAAAGGTTAATTTACAACATATAGTTTAAAATGTTTTATTTGTGGCCAATGTCATAGGTTTCTATTAGTTTTTTTATAAAAGGTATAATATAAGAATTAAAAAAATAATAATTTAAATAAGGATTTAGTTTTGCTTATTATATTTTCTTATAAATAATTATAATTATAATTATATATATATATATATATTATTATTAAATTATTTAAAAATATATATAAAGAAGATAAATTTAGAAAATTAATTTGTAGAAAATAAAAAATATGTTGCATAATTATATTTGCATCAAAATTTGATATTATTTGTTTTTTTGAAATATTACAATAAGGTAACATGATTCTTTAGAAGTAAAAGTTAATGCATACATTAATATGAGAAACTAAACATCCATTAACACTATACTAGATATTAGTTAAAAATCTAGTGAAATTATCAAATAAAGAATGTAAAAAAGTTTCAATAAATAAAGACAAATACTTTGGTATGTATGACCTTGCATATGCTACTAGTATAATGAAACAAAACATGGTCAAAGTAAAATAAAGTCATTAGTATAGGAACTAAAATATTGAGTATTGTTCATAAGACATTATTAAAATTTTGGACTTAAAAAATTAAATTTTTAGAATATATACGTATATATATATATATATATATATATATATATACCCACAATATGATGTGAGGTTTATTTAAATATTAATAATATTATTAATTTTTTTCATCATTATCATATTTTAGAAACACGAAAAAATAGATGTTTATAAAGTTAATCATCGATAAATAATTTTAAAAATTAGAATTCGTATTTTATTTAAAAGGAATACATATTTTAATTTTGGTATTTTAACTGTATTAATAGTGTTTGTATTATAAAGTGTTAAATTTTTAGTTATTAAATTTATTAGTTTGTTAAATAAACTTTAAAACACTTGTCAAACTTAAACAAATTAAAACCATAAAACAATAACATAGGTCTGAATGCATATAATAGTAACTATTTTTTTTCACAAATAGCAATACTTAATTAGTAAAATAATTGATGAAAATATTAAAGGGAATTTAAAATAATTATAAAAATATGATAATTGGGTAGAATTCTTAAACAAAATGTGAGTGTCAATGTATATATTTTTTGTATTATTTTTTAAAAAATCAAATCAAAAAGTAAGAAGGTTGAATGAAGAAAACATGAAAGTTAAATAGATAATATATATATATATATATATATATATATATATAAAAATATATATATAGTGCATGAAATTGTTGATAAGTAAAATTGTAAGTGAAGGACATCAATCTGGTGTAATATCTTAATTTCTGAATGCATAAACCATGAAAGTAATAAAAACATTTATGAAGGATGTTGAGCTCTTAATTAAGATTAACGTAAAAAATTAAAAATAATTATTCTCATATAATAAATATATTTATATTTATAAGTTCGCTTTTCATTGTAAAATAAATATTCACAACTTTTTCTGATTTTCTTTTCGTTATTTTTTTAATCTTTAAAAATCAATGGAACTCACTTTAATAGTAACTTAAACTTGAGTATAAAAACAAACCTGTAAGATGCAAGGAATACCCCATATCCAAATTGGCAGATTAGAGTAATTTGATTGAAGTTATTAGTATATAACTTCATTACAGAATGATGATTAGACAAAATCTTGGAATGAACAGTTGTTAGTTGTTGGAGAAGATGCCAAATTCTAAAATTAGCACATATGAAGTAATTAACAAAATAAGTTCATGACTTACATGTCTTCAGAGGAATGCAAACAGACTTGAAGTGACACAATGGATTTTGTAACGCTGTTTACTAACACTGTGAAATGTAAGAATGAACTGCTCTATGGTTCTTCAATTTAAAAGAAAAATGTTGAAA